GGAGGGAGGTGACTCATCTTCTTTTTGTCTCATAGCAGGATCTTGACCCCTCCCTGTGGAGACTGGGCACCCTGGGTGACCCCTCTTGGAGGAGCTGGTCCAAACTCTAAGCGCTTCACTAAACTGGAAGACAAGACGTAGTGCTTAAACACTCATGAACAAACCTTAAATTATCAAGTCCAAATGCTTATTGTTCCCAATATTTGTTGACTCGTACAGTCAAGTGGCCTGAGATGACTCAGTTCATATTCTGGCAGCACTAGTATGCAGATTTTGTAGTTTATGTCATGAAATCAACATCCACCACACTGCTGGATCGTGGATACAGAGGAACTGAACAACTGGATTTGGTTATTTATGTAAACATTTAACATTTCTTAATTGTTTATTCAAAGATTCCTGTATTTTTCAACCAGGGTCTTATTCTCATAATTTGTTTTACAGAATTACATCTTATGAGCAAACATGCACAATTGTACCTATGGTTAAGCACAAAATACAAGTTAGATATTCCTTAACCAGAAAACCTGACTTCTATGTAGTTATTGATAGAACAACATAAACATTAGTTTCTCCAGTGGCCACACTTTGGATTTTGCTGCTGTCTTTTTCCTCACCTGTCGTACTGAGGAGGGGGGCTCATGCTGGTAGTTTGAATCTCAGGCGCTGCTTCTAAGCCTGAAGGACTACCAGAACCAGCTGGAAGTGCCGGCCTACTAACAGACGTGTCGTACACAAAGTCTCGACAGGATGCCAACTTGGACTCCAGATTCTGGTAGGGATTTTGAAAAATATCATCAGTCAGCTCATACATGCAAAACCCAAACCTGTAATCATACTATTCCATTAAAGCACAGTTCTGTGAGGATAAATTCACTTGGAGCTACAAAAGTATTATTATTAAATGTCTTACTCCAACTTTTCTCAGCAGCTCCCCTACAATGTTGAGTGCAGATATTCTAGCAGACGTAGTGAGGGGAGTCCCTGTTAGACCATCACCTAAAACAAACCCAATGTGAACACGTAAACACACCGTATGTTAATACAAAGTTGGTATATCTACTAGAGTAAATACAGGGGTAAAATTGAATCTATTCACCTCGCCGGATGCTGGAAGCAGGGGGTGTGACAAATGAGCTGAGAGGTTTGGAGGGCGTGACAGGGAAGGATGGGTTACCAGCCGAGGGACACGGCAGATCTGCTCGATCTGTGTCTTTGCCCAGGCTGCTGGATGGACGTCTTTCCTTCTGACGCACAGCCAGCTCCTGGCGAAGATCTGCCACAAACAGAGAAACATACAGATATACCTGTGAGTCAGCTTTTCATTAATGACCAAGATTCCAGTGCCACGTGTTTAAA